GTATAAATTTAAATATCTATTAATATAAACAAAATATATATGTAGATTATATAAATATAATATAATATACAGAATATGTCATACTTTAGTAACACAAACAAAATATAAATGGTCATCTATCATTTGTTCAGTTCAAGAAAAAGATCAAACAAAATACAGCTAATCACTATCACTCTCGGTTAAGTAATCTGGAACTTCTTCTTCTGGTGTTTCTGTCCCCTCAAACTCGTCCTCTTCCTCATCATTCAGTCGAATAAGATAATTGCAAGTCCTCACTAATAACCACTCGTTCTTCTCCCGAAGATGCTAGCGGAACATGATCATCCACAATAGTTGAGGGTTGCACTAATTGCGGCATAGGAGGATCATCATCCTGATAATAATTATTTACACAATTACTCAGAGATGAAGTGTCAATTATCGCTCTTGCCCTAATCTTACAAGCAGCATACCACCCTTTCCTACGCAAATTTTTAGAAGGATAAGAAGTGTAGAACACTTGTTGGGCTTGACTTGCTAAGATGAAAGGTTCATTTGTGTGTAGTTTATACCGAGGATTGATGTCAACTATACAAGAAGACGAATGGATCACAATGCCTTTGTTAAGATCATACCAATCACAATTAAACAAAATGACTGATTGAGGAATAGATGAGTCAAAATAGTGAAGTTCGATAACTTCTTTCAGTTGCCCATAATAATCTAACTTATCATCATTTAAAGTGGTTCCCTTAACACAAACCCCACTATTCATGGTTTTTTTGTTTTTTCCATATGAGATAGTATGAAACCGAAATCCATTAACCCAGTAACCATTATATAATGTAACATTACTGACAGATCCAGTTACTAAAGTCAATAGGCATGGATCAACCTCGTATCTTCCACTACGGGCCTACATTTGTTATAAAAGTGTTGAATATTGTATTTTTATTAAAATTAAAATTGAAATCTTAATAATACAAAAAAACTATAATAAATGACTCACCGTTGTTTTAAATCAAGAAATAAACTCAAGTTGTCGTTTCATTTCAATTTGGTCCGATGATAGTCCACAACATATTTGAGATTCGAAAAGCCTACATTAAGAAGTGGTAGTAAACAAACTATAAATTTTATTAACCTAAATAAAGGAAAGGTAGAGCATAACGTACGCAATCCATGGATTTACTTCCTCACAATTAAGCAAAACATAAAGTTCTGCTGCCTTTAATTCCCT